ACTGACGGTAGGTAGCTCTCTATTAGTCAGATACTGCCAAGACTACAGTTTGTGATGTTGATTCAGTCTGTTCAAGACATTACAGCTATTGAAATAGTGCTTTCTAATCAAAAAATTAGGGATGCACCGAATGTTCGACCACTGAAATGAATTAGCTGAAAATAGCACAAAAGAACTTTCGGTGTTCGGCCTAATAAGTCAAAAGGTTTGATTTAAATCCGTTTGCAGACACTGTTTTGCTGAATTGTCTCCTAGCACATCCACTCCATCTGTGGCTGACTTCTTAGAAAAGGCAACGGTCTGACCCGCTTTGACTGTTTCTGTCACTCTTTTCTGAGAAGGCGATTAAGCTAGCCGCACCTATATTTGCACACGTATTCAAGCCTTTATGGTAACTGAAATGGACCAAAGCGCGCTGACAGGCATATTAGCGACTTTATCCTGTCATTTTCTGTCTTTACAAAGACAAGTAGTGTTGCAGTATGAGAGTCCTACCTGAAGAGATGCTATGAAGTCTTCATGTTGGGCGACACGAGAACCACATACATTATTTATCCAATTGGGTCAGACATGAAGAATTTAGAGCGAGGATACACATGTGACAACGTCCCGTTTTCAAAATACAGGATGGAAATAAGGTTAATTGGATTACGTTCGCAGAAAGTATAAAACATTATGCATGTGTCCATTAAAAGTAAACTTTACTCTACCGGACCCTCTCAGGCCTCAGGCCCACCCCCCATAGTCTCTCCAAATCCTGTGGGGAAACACTTAGTAAAAAGCACATTTTGACTATTTAATTTATGCAATGGTAAAAAATAAATTGGGAAAATAAATTGAAAAAAATGTGAATTTAGTTATTCGGTATTTGTCAAAGTTTTTCATTATATTCGTCTTCAACCTGTGCATGAGACCACTATATAGATGCAACCATCAGACATGACCAGTGTTGGGCAGTAACGTGTTACTTAAATAATATTACTTTTCCCAGTAACTAAGTAGTGTAACTAATTACTTTTCTAAAACAGTAATATTATTACTAGTTACTAAGGCAAGTAACGCTGTGTTACTCGTTACTGAACACACCATCCTTGCAGTAAATCCACGACTGTGCAACAGCTCAGCTGGACCGGACTTTGTTGTTCATGTCCGCTGATAGCCAAAAACTAAATGAAGAATGGAGAACGGGGGGGAGAGGCGTTCTTTCCACAGCTGTAAGTAGCTTCTGCCATTATTGTGTCACAGTCTAAGATACAAAGAACATTGTCTATTGTAAACTCTGTGTGACCAGCAAAAAGCTTTCAACCGCAACAATTCTACATCTGATTTATTGAAGCATCTGCTGAAGCAGCACAGCAATGTGAAACTTACAGAAAGAAACTCCACCAGCTACTGCCACTGATGCTTGGACTCATCAGGAGAGAGTGGCGTTAACATAACGTTTTGTAACTGCTGAATACTGCTCTTATAAACAGGCTACATGTGCATTAAAACAGCTGTTAAAAAGCAGGGATTTACTTGCTTTATTTTTTATTTCAGCCAGTGGCGTTAAGAAACGTTAGGCCTAGGCTATATGCTCTGTAAAAACCACACTCCTTGCTTCTGTTATGGATATGACTGAATAATTAGTTAAAAAGTCCTTTCTCTGGGGGTGAAGGGAGGTGGTAGGGAAAGCAGTGTTTCCCATAATTAGCCTATAATTTGAATAACTATCAACGCAGACCTTCACATATTGATTTTCCAAATGTTTACTAGGCGTATTTAAAATCATTTTTGATTAAGGAGCTCTATTGAGGATAGGGTGACCAAACGTCCCAAAAAATCCGGGACAGTCCCGAATTACGAGCAGTTGTCCAGACCCCATTCCGGTTTGTCC